TTTATGAATTGAAGAAGTTATTGCGTGATCTGGGCGTGGGATATGAGCATATCGATGCATGCCAACATGACTGTGTACTATTTTGGAAGGAGAACTCGCACCTGATAAAGTGTCATGTATGTGGGGAGTCTAGGTACAAGTTCATTGGTGGAAATGGTATGAAGATCCTTCGTAAGGTGTTGCATTACTTTTCGTTAACTCCGAGGTTGCGGAGGCTGTACATGTCCAGGAAAACGGCCACAAAGATGAGATAGTATAGGGATAAACATGTAGATGATGGGATTGTGAGACATCCGACTGATACTGAGGAGTGGAAGGAATTTGATCTTATTCATCCTGAGTTTGCACAAGAGATCCTCAATGTAAGGTTGGGACTGGCTAGTGATGGGTTCAACCCTTTTGGGAACATGAGCAATGCCTATAGTATGTGGCCAGTCATACTTATGCCTTACACCTTGCCACCCTGGTTGTGTATGAAAGAATCTTTTTTCATGATGTCCTTACTTATTCCTGGACCACATGCACCAGGGAACAACATCGATGTTTTCTTGAGGCCTTTGGTCGACGAGTTGAATGAGTTGTGGGACAATGGGGTAGTAACTTATAATGCCTCCAAAAAATAGATCTTCCGAATGCATGCGGCTATATTGTGGACCATTAATGACTTTCCTGCATATGGTAACTTGTCTGGGTGGAGCACAAAAGGCTATTTGGCTTGTCCACCTTGCAATGATGATCTATTATCGTATCAATTAAGGAGTAAGATTAGATACTTCGGTCATCGAGTTTACTTGCCTAGGAATCACACTATGAGAAGGAGTAAGGACTTTAACGGTAGGACTGAACATCACATGAAATCTTTGGATTTACCCGTGGAAAAGGTACTTGAGCAGTTGGATCAATTACCAAATATTAATTTTGTAAAGCATCCTTTAAAAAGGAAAAGACCCTATGAATCCATCGCCCTAAATTGGAGAAAGAAAAATATCTTTTTCGAGCTACCGTATTGGAGAGAACTGAATGTGCGGCACAATTTGGATCCCATGCACATTGAAAAGAATATATGTGAGACAATCATTGGGACAATGTTGGGTATCGACGGAAAGAATATATATGAGGCAATCATTGGGATAATATTGGTGATGCTCCAAGTTTTTCAGGACTTCTACAAACTTTTAATCTGTGTGCATGCAAGTAGTGAAGTGGTAGCAGCATAACTACCTGTTAATTGTCTACAACCTCAATACCTTACAAAAAAAATAGTTCAACCTAAATATGATCAAAATTCAGGTATTATAGATATATTCTATTGTCTTATTTAGTTTATTAATCGTGCTTTTGTAGGATCGGTACCATCGGCCTGTATAAATGTACGCGGTGCAACACGAGGGAAGAGGATAGAGAGATTGGTGAGACAATTGGTTCATACAATTTTAGTTATGATCCCTTCCTCGAGTGGAGCATCGGAGGGGGAGCATACGACATCCCTCGTGAATGAGATTGGGAAGAAGATCCGATCATCTACACCGGTTCGTAATTGTGGTTGGGACAATATTGATGCTGGGAGTCGAGAGGCGATCATTACGAGAGTTCTGGTATTTTTTTAATCATTCTTTAATGATATTCACTTCTTCATTTTATATATTCACTTCTTCATCACTTATATTAGGTGACGAGGCCAGCTCCATTCATTTTAGATATTCACTTCTTCATCACTTATATTGGGTGATTATTATGAGAGTTCGAGTTTTATTATACAAGTTCCCAGTGCCCTTAGGGGGGGTTTGTCAGTATTCTCCTCCTCCTCCTCGATATTTTTTTCTAGTTTCTAATTTCTAATTGCAAAATGATTAAAGGTTTTGATTGGGGATGTATAAGGTAAAGATCAAGCAACTGTCAGTTATATCCATACATTCTTTTAGCATATATGTACATTCTTTTGTGCCTACAGAGGCAATGATGCAAGTGAATGAGCTATTGGCTCACTCGTAAATTAGATGATAGTTTTAAGACAGAGGAAGAGAAGAAAGGCAAACAGTTTAAGAGAAATGATCAAACACAACAGTTGCTTCATATTACCGTAGCACACACAATGCCACTCTATTTGTCAACCGAATGTTTAAACATAAAGAACATATATTATCAGTAGGAGAATCAGTGGACCGAGAGAACTGATCAATTAACATTCCTGAATTACACAACTCAAATGCCTTGAATTATTCAATGGTCCTCTCTGTTACAAAATTACATTCACGCAACTCTCTCTCTCATATGTATATTCATTCTTATATATATATTCATGATTAACTATACTTGTAGCAAAGATTTGATGTCGGGGACTATGAGAACGACCTAGTCATCCAAGATTCCATAAAGAAAAAGTGTCAGAGTATATATAAAAATTGGAAGCATGAGTTGCACATTTACTATCTTGGTTTAATAGAGAAGGGAGTACCTGATCCCAAGAACCACCCCGAACCTAATGATTGGGTATCGATGATCGATGTGTAGGAAAGTGAAGAATGGAAGGTATAGATCTCAAATCACTTTATTAAATTGTCATGTAAATTTATTTTGTTGTTATATATTTTAATAATATATTTTATATTGGTTATTAGACAAAATCTTATAAAGTGAAGGTGAGCCAATCAAAGTTGCCCTACAATCATATATCTGGTTCCCGATCATTTGTAGTAGCGATGTCACTAATGGTAAGTCTTACTTTATAAGTTTTTTCTTTTTAAATAGACTATAAATAGTTATTAACAACCTTAATGATAAATTAATTAAATTACAGAAATCAAGGCATGATGGGAAAGCTCCTTTTCCAGAATTTTACAAGGAAACCCACTACCAAAAAAAAAGGAAAGTATGGGTAAATGAGAAAGCACAAGATACCTATGTACGCATGTCCAATTTACTTTTGTTAATTGATATACAAAAAACTTATATCTATTCATTAATGATATAGATCTTACATCTTTAAAAATAACAGGAGCGTTTAGTCAACAAGACTATCGAACAATCTCAGCCGGATGTTACATCCCCGATGAATGAGTTTAAGATATCCATTGATGTACTTGGAAGGAGACCAGGTTACCTGAAGGGGGTATGGGATCCACCTTCGAGGGAGTTCATCTACCAGGTCTTTTGCAAAGTCAGCTGAGCGAGATGCTGAGGTCGTGGCTTTAAAGGAGACAGTAGCCGTGCAAGCCGAACACATTGCCTCACAAGCCGAGCAGTTGAACGCGCAAGCCCAGAAGACTGCTGATCTTGAGACTTTAGTGCATCAGCTATTTGCACGTAGCCAGCCTAGAGCGAGCGGTGGTAATAAAGATTTCTCATCGAGATGAGGTCAGACTTACATTTAATTTTTCCTTATTAGACTTATTTATGGTTTCTAGACATACACTATTAAATTATAGCAAGATCATAAATAACAGATGGTGAATTTGAGCCCTCTGAAAATTATAGCAAGATCATAAAAGAACTGTGTAATATCAGATCCCAACAAACACAGATTTTTTTATATTGATGGGGCCAAAGCATGCAAATTTTGCTTTTAATGCTGGAACTGATGGTGAATTTGAGCCCTCTGGAAATTTCGGGATCAGGTTGTGGGTGTTACGAGCTTGGTCTTAGTTTCAAAGCTTTGCATCATTCTTATGCTCTCATGTGACTATGTGAGGCATTATCTACTAACTATTGTATTATAGCAGCTTATTACAGATTTTCAGGACAACCCCATTACAATGATTGAATTTGAATTTTGAACTAGTATACTAGATAGACTATTCTAAGATAGAAGGTGCATGAGTTATGGACAATACAATTGTAGTTTTCTATAAATTTTGTGGGAGGAATGAGACAGGTCCATGAATGAGTTCATGGGTATATGACATTAAATGTTGAATGGTTATGGCGCCAAGCTCGACTTTATTGCTGGTTGTTTGGAAATATTCCATGAAATGTTCTCTTGCCTGTATTTACCTGTCGCGTGGGACCTCATTTAGGCTGATAAAATTAGCCTTAACAAATATGAAGTTGTATAATTTCATCAAGATCAAAACTTACCAGTAATTTAAGAAGTATTGAACATGGAAGGTGTTACATAATTATTTATAACTTATTCTTATCCTACTCTGTTTATGCAATTAAGTAGAAGTAGGAAAAAAAATATTAACTTACTCGCTCATGCTTGTATCATATTTGAAGGCAATCATCAAGATATAGAAGAACAAATTGGTACGGTGTTTTTAGACTTGGTTCTTCTTCTGCTTAGGGCCTTAGATACACATTAAAAACTCTATTCCAAACATTGTGATTTGTTTGTATGATCTTTGTCACAAAATCCATTTATTGCTCATTTTATTTAAAGTCATTTCTTTATAGTTCCTTGAAGTTTCCTGCTTGATTTCTTCTTATTATCATGTTATAGTAGAGATGTTAAATGGGTGGGTATGGGTTTAAATGGGCGGGTCATAAATGGGCGGGCATGTTTTGCCCATTTACCCATTTATGGCCCATTTAATATTATTTAAATGGGCGGGTTTTTGCCCGCCCATTTAATAAACGGGTCGCCCACTTGCCCATTTAACTATAGTACATATATATGTATAATACTTTTGGGGTGTTTTTTGTAAACTTTTAGGGTTTTTTTTTGTAAACTATTGTGGGCTTTTTGCAAACTTTTTGGGAGCTTTTTGCAAACTTGTTGGGGTTTTGATAAAATACTAACAAAGATAGGAACATAAACAAAGATAAACAAATGCAGACAAATTCATGATTGAACCATTTACAAGCCTGGATAAAAGTACAGACCTCACACATTTGCAAAATTAACCTCAAATTTCCAAACCAAAAACCAAAAGATCAATAACAACAAAATTGCGAGTATATTTAAATGAATTAAGATAAAAAAACACAAGGTATGCAAGGATCTGTATAAGATCAATAACTTGATATAAACGCCATCATAACTATCAGCAACACGATCACGATTAGTAAGGACAATCTACTTAATTACTTGATAAACTAGAAGAGTAGTAAGTTCGTCTATAAACAAAATAGTAGCACAACCATAGTCTACTTATTTCCCATCTTTCAAATGTTCAGACATGAACAGGATCATGACAGAAGAAAGAAAAGACCAGGAAACAAAGATCAAAAGGGAGGGATTTTACGAGAAAGTAAATCTTAGCCCCCAAATTGACAATGCTGCGACTGACAATAATCACAACGCAAGGAAACAGTATAAACATATTACAGAATCAACCAAAATCAACCAAAATCACAGCTTCAGCAGCAGCAGCAGCAACAACAACTGCTTCGGCAGCAGCAGCTTCAGCAACTTCAGCAGCAGCAGCAACAACAACAACAGCTTCAGCAGCAGCGCTTGCTTTCTCGTCAGAATTCGTCTGTGCCATTTATTGAACAAATTCAAGGTTCTCTGCAGCATCAACAGTCAGTTAACAAGATGCAAAGTTGCAAACAAAATGCCATTGAGCTCAAGAACAATGAAAGTTAGCAAGATGCCATTGCAAGTAACCCAAAATGCCTTTGAACCATTTGGACATCCATGAACAATCCCATCTTCTTTTCAATGACAATACCATGTCAGGATAAAGGAGAACATTTACATAGATAGCAGCAGTCAGGATAAAGGAGAACATTTACATAGATAGCAGCAGTCAGCAGTTATGAATGTGAAAGCAGGAAAACAACTCAAACAGCCAACCCCAAAGATTTGTAGAAGGACTTCAAGAGAGTGTTGACAATTACAGCATGGGTGGCTCTGGCTTCGAGAGGCGGTTGAGGCGGTTGAGCACCAGACTTAGAAAGTGATAACAAAGATGCGGGACAATTTGAAAAGAAGATAAGCGTCTAGCAATACAGAATACGAATTATATATGCAAAAAGAATCAACATTTGTTGTTAGAATTAAAAAAGATGAAATGTGGCCGAGAAGTTCTTTCAGTATAAAATGTAGATGAGAAGCAACATAGTTACCTTAATGTAAAGCTCATGAACCTCTTGGAAAAAACTTTTTATCCCATCCTCATTACGTGAATCATGAAGCAGCATCAATCTAGTGTGTGGATAGAACTGGTTAAGGAAGACAAAGTATTTACACAGTGCTGGACTATACAAAGAAATTATGATGGTCAACATGTTACTAAATGAGAAAACAGGTTAATCAGAATTGTTAACATGTTCCAACATAAACAAGGCACTTTTATAGAATACAATACAATAATAAAATAATCAAGTAGCCCATACTGCAAAGAGTATTTGCCATTTAGCTTTCAAAAAAGAATACCTCATTTTCCAACAATCATGTTATTTTATTTACTTCTACAAAAAAAGGCAGAAGTTAACTTTATCACTACTTTGAGAGCTACTGCTCATTTCCTATCCAAAAGATACAAGAATATGTTAGTGTGTTCATCTCCATAAAACTTAAACACCCAAAAAAACTGTTATATAATAAGTTAAGCAGGTATTATCAGCCAAGTCATTTATCCATCAAAAAACAACTGCAACAATAATTTATTTGATAGGATATGACCAGCAGTTACATACACAGACACCACCAAGTCATTGAACTTGTCAATGGCCTTCAAAAACCTGCATGTATCACAGAGATTAAATAAAGCCAAAAAAATACTAATACAGAACAATCAACAAAGACATTGCAGCATACATTATCTATTTTTTATCTGCATGAAACTAATACAAAATATATGTGTAACAATACTGCACTGACACTGTAAGCCTAAGACAAAAAGACTCACATGGCACTTGTTGTCCATGCAAGGTCCTGAACAATATCTAAAGCAGCATGCAAAATAAATTGGTGCTGATGAGCTGCTTCTTCTTTCTGTCACAAAACATCACTAACTAGTGAATAAAACTGTAAGAAACCATGATTAAACAAATATGAAACAGACATTTCCATGAAAATTGTTAAGGAGCACAATTACTAATGGTCAAGGTTGTGGGCATATTTATAGGTCTTTTTATACAGGAATACCACATTTGCATAGGATTATCTTACAGATCCTTCATCGACAGAACCACCAACAATAATTTTTTTAGAAATAAACATATTCTAATTCAAAGACATATAATTGGAACTGCTAATATCGTGTTCTGTACATCTGCAATTCGCATCACTAACACCTCACTGGTTTTTTTTTCCTCGAAAATTCAGATTCTTATTGAATATATTCGCATCACTAACACCTCACTGCTAATTTCTTTTTTACGAAAAAATTTATACAATTGAACGATACTTATACGGAATCCAACTCTAACTACTAAATAAACAAGAATTGATCTTGAACATCAATAAAGGATCAAAGAAACCCTAACTACATGATAAAGCTTAAAAAATCACGATTTCTATGGCAACAAACAAATCCGAACCCTAAAGAATCGCAAACAAACAGATTCAAGACTAATTCAGAACAAGATCATCTCAAATTCATCAAAAAACACAGATTTGAGGAAAGAGAAGGAGAGAAGAAAGGGATCTAGGCGATTACAGCGTCTCCATCCTTGTCGAACAAGCTGAAGGCCTCCTTGAACTCCGAGATCTGATCTTCCGTCAGCTGATCCGCCATTGAGAGTACTGAGATCGATTGATCGAACGAAAGAGAGATCGAAAAAGAGAAGAGAAGTCGAAAACTTATCGTCAGCGACCGAAAGAAATGAGAAGACCGTCAGGCTTCGTGTTTTGGTTTTGGGAATACGGGTGGGCATATGGGCGAATATAGACCGCCCGTTTAGTACCCATTTAGAATAGTTTGAAATGAACCCGCCCAATTAGACCCATTTAACTAAATGGGTGGGTTTTGGGCGGGCCAATTGATGGGCGGGCTAGGTGGGTAAATGGGCATGGGCACAAATTGCCTTCCCTATGTTATAGGTATGTTCTGTTTCCTATATGTTATTTTTCATTCCTCAACGTGGTCTAGTATTTTCAAGATTTGCTATTATGTGATTGCTCTCAAGCTAATAAAGAACGAATGTTGAAGAAGAAAATACTAGTTAGAGATGGATGGATTAGGGTGTCTGTAATTTCCTTTTTGCGTAATTGTCAAATGCCTCTAGTCTCTGTCTGCATGATCTTTGCTATGATTTTGCTTGAAAATCTTGCTTCTGTTTTAAATTGTATAGAAGACTGTTTAATCAAAGAACTGATATCTCTAACATCTAGTCTCTGTCTGCATGATCTTTGCTATGATTTTGCTTGAAAATCTTGCTTCTGTTTTAAATTGTATAGAAGAGTGTTTAATCAAAGAACTGATATCTCTAACATCTCTAACAGGAAATAATCAAAGAACTGATGGAAAGGCTATCACACATGAAAGAGCTTATGGATATGTATTGTGACCCTAACAGAGTGACTGCAAAGCAACAAATGCAGGAGTTAGACAGAGTCGCAAAAACTCTACTAGAGAATATACCTTCATCTGTGAAGAGGTTCACTGATCGTGCCGTTCTTTCACTTCAAGTTTTCTTTTTTTCAACTTAGTTTAGTTTCCTGTAAATCTTATAATGTGTCATTCTCTGAAATGGAAAACACTGAATATGGAAAAGTGGAATATTTAAATAGGCCTTTGAGTGTTGACTTGGAAATGAAAATGAATGTAATTATTTTGTAATGGGAGCAAATTCTTTGTTTATCATAATATGCAACTTGTTTGGTCTATAATTTGATGTTTGGTTTCTTTGTTGATGTGAATGGGAGTAAATTTTTTGTGGATGTTCAGGTTCAGTGTAGGCTTGTAGTTGATAGAAAATATATTACTTTTGGCAATGCAAATTAGTGTCGACAAAATTATACTTTTTAGCGTTGCCAAAAATTATACTTTTGTCGACGCTATCTTGTGTCGATAAAAGTATAGCTTTTAGCGACGCTAGCGTGCGTCTCCAAAAGTATAGCTTTTAGCAACGCTTCACTTTGCATCGCTAAAAGCTGCACTTTTGCCGACGCTAGCTTGCATCGGAAAAAGTATAGCTTTTAGCGACGCTAGCTTGTGTCGTCAAAAGTATAGATTTAAACGATGCAGAGTTAAGGGGTCGCTAAAATCTATACTTTTGGTGGTGCAAGCTAGCGTCGCTAAAAGCTATACTTTTACCGACGCATAGCTTTTGTCGACGCTGTATGCGTCGCCAAAAATACACTTTTGCTGATGCAAAATATTATACGTCGCTAAAAGATATACTTTTCCCGATGCATGACGCGTCACCAAAAGTGTACTATTGACGACGCAGTGTGTTTATGTCGCCAAATACTTTCCTTGACACACTTTTGGCGACGCGTTAGCGACGCTGCATTTTGCATCAGGAAAGATTTTTCCCGATGTTTTTTAAACTTTTGCCGATGTTTTTGTTTCGTCAGCAATGTTGTATTTTTTTTGTAGTGTCAGACGCTTGCAACATGGTCATCATGTCATAGTAGTTCTAGACATGCTTAGCTAGATCTCCTTCTCCCTTGTACTTATCCACCTGTGGCATCTTAAATTTCTCTCAAGAGGCATTCATGGTGTCATCGATGAGGGGGGTGTTCCCCCCAATGGCCTCAGCGATTGTCCGAAAAGACCGATCGTAGCGAGATGCTACATTCGTGGTTGATAAACTCGGAGCGGCATGATGACACCTAGGGCCCTGCGATGCTCCCCTAGTGGTGTGTTCTCAGCCATCACGACCAGAACTAGGGCTTTCCCCTATAACTTCCACAAACTATGGATAATTTTGGTGAGGATCCGTAAAGCGAGCTTGATAGCAAGGTTGAGGAGATACGTATTCAATGTAGTCTATATGATGACCAGTTGGAGCGGCATGTGCGGGTGCTAGAGGGACCAGTTGCCTTGCTGGTAGTGGATGAGTAGCTGAGGGCTGGTCTGCTAAATATGTCAGAGCCAGCAAAGAGGAAGGTTGTTGAGTATGAATTCAATTGAGAAGTTCGTTGGTGAACGTCGAAAACTAATGCTGGGAGAATTGAGTGATATGCTGAGCAGATTCTTCTAACTGGGCTTGAGTGATGTAGCCCGCAGGTTATTCTTTAGGGCTGGATGGATAGACCTAAGCTCAAAACCAGACATCATGATTGAAGAAGAAGAAAGAAGGCCCCACGATGGGCGCCAAACTATTGATATTAGTTATTAAATAGAGGGTTATCTGATAGTTTATAGAGTAATTAGGGTGCTCTAATTCCTTCTGATGAATGGTTCTAAGGCTTGTTGTTCTTTTTTGTACATGAAAGAACTCATAAGAGGGCAGAGTTGGGTTCTCCGGTTGTTCCTCTGACGATCAAATCAATAGATGATCTTGAGTAAGGAAATATAAAGTTATCTCTTAGTTACGTCTTAAAAATGTGAGAGTTGACACATGCAGTGCCACTCAATTTACAGTAGGTCTAAGGGGTAAGAAGGTAACTTGGGCCAAGTCCAGATAGGTAACTGAGTCGGCAGACATATGCTATGTGTCAGTTACTGAAGGAGGTGAGTCATCTGGTCATTTATTATGGGAATGACGGTAGGTGCTTAGTGCTGACTGGGTCTGATGAGTCATAAAGGCTATGGGGCTAGAGCAATGATGATATTGTCTGGGCAGTTGATGCGAGAGTAGTCAGCTGGCGAGGGGTTCGAGGTAACTATATGTAGGTTGTCTAAAAATCACTGTAGATAGCTAATCTCCATATAAAACACAAATGATGGAGGTCACAATTTGATGATTTTTATATCAATCAATGAGAGTTACAATTTGATAATTCTCAAAATAACTGATAATGGAAGATACAATCTGACAAGTTTCACAACATCAAATAAGAGTTACAAACTGACGATTCTCACATCTCAAAGAGCCAAATGCCGGGATTACAAGATGATAATCCTTACAACACTCTAACAGAAAAGATTACAAGTTGATGATTTCTTAAAAGCAGCACACGGAAGTCATCACCTCGTTCCAAGTTCAAAACATGGAGCTCATCAGTGCATTCCAAGCTCAAAATGCGGAGATCATCAGCGTATTCCAAGCTTAAAATACGGAGCTCATCACTGCGTTCCAAGCTCAAAATGCAAAGTTCACCACCACGTTCCCAATTCAAAACACGGAGCTCACTACCGCGTTTTTAGTTCTAAACACGAGGGTCATTTCCAGAATGCGAATCTCACGTTTGACTGATTCAAACATGTTTTAAATGGTTCCAAAACCATTTTCCATGAATTAAGGGCATTAAGGAGCGATTTAAGGGGTTAGTTACACCCCTTAAACCCCTATAAATAGCTGAAAAGTCAGCTAGAAAAGCAGTTCAGTTTTGAAAAAAAGTAAGAAAAGAGGAGGAGAAAGAGGATCTTTTGGATCGAATCTTTGGAGCATTATTAAGAGCTTTTCTCGAAGCTTTTGCCTTGGCTTGTGAACCATTTTAGTTAAGTTAAAAAGGATTAATTTTCTAAATTGTAATTTCTTTTTCTAAGTTAGTGAGAGAGAGGTTACATCGAGAGACTGTATTCATTCTTTTCCTAAGTCAGTTGGAGAGATTAATACAAATTTTATTCTTAATTTTCTCACAAATTTTCTGACAAACAAAAGATGACGACTCCATTGGAGATTAGCTTTTTTACCGATAAAGAAGTGGTGGCGCAATCCGACATTAACCTCGCTAGAATTAACGGTCGAAAACTTTGATGGTAGAGTTTGATCAAGCTAAATATAAGGAATTGCTCTCCTCTGGATCTCTTAGCCCCAAGGCTATGCGCAAGATTCTCAAAATCTCTAAGGAGTCCAAAGCTCCAATTGTGCCCGACTCACCATAGGGGGATCTCTCCCTTGGATGAGACTACTTGGACAGACTCTCCTCTGAAGTAGAAGACTCAGCTTCAACTAAACTCATCAACCGAATCGAAGATTCTATGCTCGTGCCTAAACAATGGGTATGAGGTCACAAGAGACCCATTACAGTGACAAACTTGATCAATACATATAGGGACAGTTTGGTGGAAATTTTGCAATAAGAAAATTGAAAGAATTGAATTTGATTTTATTCCTTTTAACTGTTTAGAAAAAGAATGTTTATAACTCTCTCAATCTCTATTACAATTAGAATTCTCAATTATAAAAGAGAAGAGAATTTATGTAAATTCTCCCTTTTTTTAATTCTAGGTCCTTCACGGTAGCGATGGAATGCTTCTCTCGAATGATCGCGTCGAGTTTGCTTTCCGTTGATGATCCATACGTCTCCCTTTACTAAAACAATTGAATGAACTTTTAGCGAGTTTTAAGAACTCAGAATGAGTTCAAACTCTATGCAAAGAGTTGTTTTGAACCATAAATCAGTTAATAGCCAAGTATCCCCACTTTCTGTTGTTGAAGAATGCCTTAAGGAATTCGACTCAAAAGAAGCTCAATCTCTCTAATCTGATCTCCCCAGAATCGATCTCCTCTTTTTTTAGCTGCTGAAAGAGGATGAATTGGAGATCTCTTTGTTGATCTCTAGATCTGAAAATGTTTAGAGATCCAGAGAAAATCCCCAACTAAACTGATTTTTCAGTTATTTATAGGGGATTAAGGGGTGTAATTGTCCCCTTAATTCGTTCCTAAGTAGGGCTGAATGGGGTGAAACTACCCCCTTAATCCGCTCCTAAGTAAGGCTGAATGGGGTGTAACTGTCCCCTTCGTCTGTTCCTAAGTGGGGCGAAAATCCCTCAAATCGTGGGGAAAAAATGGTTTTTGGAACCGTTCAACTCGTGTT